GAACAGCCTCTATCCCTGCTATTCTTGCCAAAAGAGCCTCCTGTTAACAGACCAACTAGGATTATACTTTGCACTTCTGGTTCTGTCTGCAGAGTCTTTTGTTTGTTTTTGTTGTTTATTTGTTTTGAGATAGATTTTGGCTGTTGCCCAGGCTAGAGTGCAATGGCATGATCTCAGCTTACTGCAACCTCCGCCTCCTAGGTTCAAGCAATTCTCCTGCCTCAGCCTCCTGAGTAGCTGGGATTACAGGTGCCCACCACCAAGCCCAACTAGTTTTTTGTATTTTTAATAGAGGCGGGGTTTCACCAAGTTGGCCAGGCTGGTCTCAAACTCCCAACCTCAGGTAATCTACCCATCTTGACCTCCCAAAGTGCTGGGATTACAGCCATGAGCCACTGCACCTGGCCTGCAGCATTTTTTTTTGAGTCAACAGTCTACCTTCTACACTTGTATATCACCTCCCCAGAGAATAGGAATCCTTAGCTATTTTTCTCATACCATGTTAAATGCTCCACTTTTTTCAAATTGCTTTGGGATTCCTGAGAAAGAACAACTGAGGGACAGCGAAACAGATTTTACTTGAGTAGGTGACAGTTGAGTTACAGTTATTTTTTAAAAGCTACGTTAATCAAATAAGAGCCTATGAAGGCCCAGCATGGTGGCTCACGCCTGTAATCCCAACACTTTGGAAGGCTGAGGTTGGTGGATCACTTGAGGTCAGGAATTCAAGACTAGCCTGGCCAACATGGTAAAATCCCATCTCTACTAAAAATATGAAAATTAGCTGGGCGTGGTGGCAGGTGCCTGTAATTCCAGCTACTTGGGAGGCTGAGGCAGGAAAAATGCTTGAACCCAGGAGGTGGAGGTTGCAGTGAGCCAAGATCATGCCACTGCACTCCAGCCTGGGCAATAGGGTGAGACTCTATCTCAAAAATAAAAACAAAGAAAGAAAGAAAAGAAAAAGAAAATAGCCTATGAAACAGGAGAAAGTTGCCTGTCAAGCGAGTTGAAAATATAAGCCATGGAACAGCCCTGTTGGGGAATATGCAACTAAAGAGTGCAGGATATATGGTGGAAGCATACATAATTTGTGCACTGTGCACTGCACTCCAGCCTGGGCGACAGGGTATGACTCCGTCTCCAAAAAGAAACAAAGAAAAAGAAAAGAATAGGCCTGTGAAAAGAGAGAAAGTTGCCTGTCAAGGTGAGTTGAAAATATGATCCATGGGATGGCCATGTTTGCGAATGTGTGCATACTTTCTCTATAGTGTAGTGTATATGGTGGGGTCATAAATAAACTGTTAGAGTTGGGGCAAAATCAGGAAGATCATATTTAAAAAAACAAAAACAACAAAACAAAACCTTCCTAAGTGTTTGGGTTTCATCCGTTGTAAAAATGCTTATAGATCATCAAATGCTTTAAGTGAAATTGTCACATTTATATTCTAGAAGATGATACTGGTAACCTTGTGAAAGATGAGTTAAAGTTTGGGGGAAAAAAATGAAGGTCCAGTATTTTGAGGTCATTTCAGTTGTTCAGGTGACAGGTGTCAAAGCTGAGGCAGAGGCTAGTTTAGCAATGTAAGGAATTGAAAAACCTTGACAAGACAATGCTACTCTGCAATACTCAGGACATGAAAAGTAAAGATGACCTCACTAATCCTATTGGAGTGGTGACTAAATGGATAACATTATCATTATTTGAGTTAAGAGTATACTGCTTAAGGCTGGAAAAGAATTGGATTAATTCTTGATGAGTTTAAAATATTTTCAGTTGGGCATATAAATAAGAATGCCTTCTTCAGTATTACATTTGGTTTGTGGTTGAGTCATACCAGGGAGGGAGTGGGGAGTGGTAGTTCCTGTAGTAGATGTTGAACAGCATGAAAACATCTAGAATGGAATTCTGAGGAAATTCCCACTCAAGGAATGTAATACTCTAAATGAGAGAACTGGTCATACGGTCTTATAAATATAAACAGGTTCAAGAAAATGTTGCGCACATGTATTATGATCAGTAGATCATAATAGACAGTTATGCTTATTTGCATATGTTTTAAGGTTAATTATGAGTCTCAAAATGCCTTTCTGAAACCATACCTTAAGAGACTCTATGTGGTAGGTACCTTTCTATTCGAAAAAAATCTTGTAGATATTCCTTAGGGTCAAGTTCAAAAGGCTATTTAGTGATAGAATTTGGCTTAGGTCCTAGTCATTTTGAGTTATTTTCCTAAGTTATGAAACTACAAGTTTGATTTTACAGATTGACTTTTTTTCCCATAGTCCACAAATTTATTATCAATATTATCGGTTTTAAGCATTAAAAGGACAAGAGCTGTGCAAAAGAATTCTAAGTGTTATTTTTTAAATAACCTTCAGTATATTTTTTAAAGGATTAAATTTACTTTTAAAGTAAAACTATATTAGACCCTCAGTTGCTTATACTAATTATTCAGAGAAATATTACAGATTGCTGACTAAAGATTTAGATAAGACAAGATGAAAAAGAGCATTATTTGTTTTCAGATGTTTTTCCAATGAAGTTCTAAATGTAATGGAAGATTATAACGGAATATTTGTTAAGTTTGCAAAATCTGTACACTTTGGGTTTTTTTAATTTGGTTTGGTTGAATGCTTTTCTTTATGATAGCTCTTACTAGCAGGAATTTTTTTGGAAGCCAGGATTTAGATTAGTAGTAAAGTAAGTTGTATAATTAGAATTAAAATCTATAAAAATATGTGTGTTTAAAATATATCTCAAAGCTGAATTAGAAACATTGTATTTGGAGGCAAGGGGAACACTTCAATACCTTCACTGTTGAATTCATGAGTTTTTTTGAGGCCAAAGGCATTGCCCAATATTAAGAGAACTTTAAAGTCAGTCCCTTACTAGCAATGTACTTCCTAACTTCAGGAACAAAGCATCAGTGGAACCAGTCCAAAAAAAAAGGGTTTTCATTATCTAGGTCTTCTTGTGGTACAACTGAAAGATTGGCAGCTGGTGTTTATCTTTTCCCTTCAAGGCTTAGTGGTTAGCAGCTTTGTATGCAAGGGCAATCCTGATCAGAAACTCTACTGCATTTGCACAAAACAGCACTGTTGGTCTATCCCGTCGGTCTTAAATCATACTGCTCACTTCTCTTACTTACTAATAAGTGTCATTTGTGGCATTTTTTCTTTCCAGAATAGGGCACTTTCATCTGTATTAAAAACTGTTTAGGCAGATGTCCTTTCTCTTCAATGATTTTCTCAGTGATTTCTGGGAACTCTTGTCTGTTGCCTCTTGGTCAGCAGAAGCTGCTTCTCCTTTTATCTTGATATATTTTTTTAAGCCAAACCCATTTCTGAAATTAGTAAACTATCTTTTGTTGGCATTAAATCTTCCAGCTTTAGATCTTTCACCTTCCTTTTGCTTTATATTATAGTATAATGATTTTGCTTTTTCTCAAGTTATATTAGAGTCTGTAGGTTTGTCTTTCTTACAGCAATCATACAACCATGTAAAAGCTGAATTTTTAATATGATATAAAAAGTTATTTGACAAAAAGTGCAGAGATGTTGTGCCTTCTGATGAAGCTGCAGTGACAGTTTCACAACTTTTTCTTTTCCTTTTTTATAGTGATCCTCAGGCTGGATTCATTTTTCTTGAAATGACAGGCAACCCCTGCTGCAGACTTTCATCTACAATACATATGAAGCCATCTAACTTTTTTTTTTTTTGTAATATCATGACTTCTGCTTCGAGCAGATGCAGTTCCTGCATCACTAGTGTCATTTTGTATGGGTACCATCATGTTATTCAAGATTTATGATATTGCACTAAATGCAATAGAAACTATGCAAGAATCATGAGAGATCACTTTTACTGCAGTACACAATTTACTGGAGATACAAATTGCCCATGTGGAGATGATTAGTGTCACATGGTATTTTAAGTAAATATCAACAACACTTGAGCTCACCATAACAATAACTAGAGGGGACTGTGAAATGACTACAGTAGTATACTATGTACTACAGTTAATTTTATGCAGTTATAATACTGCATCCTTACATTTACTTACATATCTCGACTACAAATAGCACCATGTACAATCTGTGCTTATGTGCATAAATTTTGATAAATTTTAACAGTTTATAGATTTTTATATATATATATATATGTTATGATTATGAGTAATAAAATAGACCAGCATCTATCTTTATTTTATCAATTTATGGCATACCTCTTTCTTAATTGTTTAAAATATTTCTTTCTTTGAGACGGAGTCTTGCTGTGTTCTCCAGGCTGGAGTACAGTGCTAATTGCAGCCTCCACTTCCCAAGTTCAAGTGATTCTCCTGCCTCAACCTCCTGAGTAGCTGGGATTATAGGCGTGCACCATCTCACCTGGCTAATTTTTGTATTTTTAGTAGAGATGGGCTTTCACCATGTTGGCCAGGCTGGTCTTGAACTACTGACCTCAAATGATTTGCCTACCTTGGCCTCCCAAAGTGCTGGGTTACAGGTCTGAGACACTGTGCTTAGCCTTTTTTGATAGTTCTAAACTATGTAGTTTATTGTGATATTTTTCAAATTCTCTAAAATCTCAAAAGAACTTTAGAATGTATTTATTGAAAAAAAATCTGCACATAAGTGGTACCACGCAGTTCAAACCCATGTCATTCAACGGTCAACTTTATTGTATAGTTAAGTCAACTAAAGTCATTTATGCATATTATATGAGGGTAAACTTTATTGTGAATATAAGATAATCTTTACTCACAGTAGTTAAATATAAAATTTCTTTAAAAAGTTAGAATTTCAATTTAAAAGATAATTTCTGAAATAATCTAGACAATTCATGCATGTGTTTTATTGGTGTTCTTTTTAATAATTTTTTAAGACTGAATAATTTGATTATACTCTTTCTTCCTCTCTAAATCTTTCTGAATATTTTTAAATGTTTTTAAAGTGTTCCAGAAAGGGCGTTTATTTATTTTTTTTTCTTTTTCTTCCAGATAAGAATGTGCCTTTTGATGAAAGGACTTTATCTTTCTACAGCGAAGAGTGGAATTTCTATGTTTAAGGAATAAGAAGCCACTATATCAATATTGGGGCGGGTATTTAAGTTTCATACATTATGACAACCTTTAATTTGTTGTTGCAATAAATACTGTATTCTTTTATTATATCTTTATATGTATAGAAATACTCTATTAATAAGCTCAGAGATGTTGGGGATAAACTATACCGTAATAGTTTATCAGTTTGACAATTACTATACAATGGTGTTTTCTGATCAGTTTTTGTTTATTGCTTACCATATGATTGTAAACTGTTTTCTTTTATGTATTAATTAGTTAATGCTAATTATTTTTTGCTGGTGTCATATGTTAATAAGCTGTAAATTCCAACAACCAACCGGTGTGTAAAAATCATTTAAAATTTCCTTTACTGAAAGATATTTCCCATTTTTTGTGGGGAAAAGCCAAATTTATTACTTTGTGTTGGGGTTTTTAAAATATTAAGAAATGTCTAAGTTATTGTTTGCAAAACAATAAATATGATTTAAAATTCTCTTAAAATGGTCCAAATAATGTGTTTATAAAATAAACTTAAAGACTATAGAATTGAAAATTAATATATATCTTTGTAACTGATTTATTGAAAAATCTATGAAAATGTTCTTCTGTTTTAGCAACTACTATGTGAAAGTAATGTATGTACTTTGATTAGATATTTCAGAAATCTGTGAATTTCAAAGCCATATTATATCTTTATTGTACAGTAAGAGGTAGATATGGAAATAATGGCATATTTCAAATACTTGACTGTTTTATGCAACAAGAGATTGAGGAATTAAAGTAAACACATAGACATTGGAGTCAGATCTATATGTAGAGACCAACATCATGATCTCTGAACAATTATTTAACCGCATTGAGATTCAGTTTTTCACATTCTAGAAGTTAGAGGAGAATTTATAGGAAAAGCTGGGTCATGACTTTTGTTGCTTGCTAGGACCATGGAACTAATTTAAATATGCATGTAAGTCAGGATAGGCTAGGTCAGAGAGAGTTAACATATGGTTCCAAATCACAATGGGTTGCAACAAGGATTTATTTCTCACTTCTACTACGTGTTTGTTATGAACTCTGATTCTGCTCTTTGTAGTCTTTTCTCTAGGACCAAAGACGTTGGGAAAACCTCTGCCCCAGATATCGGCTCATAACTAAGCATCCAGACATAATGCACCGCATGCTAGTTTATTAGGTTCTGCCTCAAGGTGATAAATTTCAATTTCACCCATATTTTATTGGCCAAAACAAACCTTAAAGCTACATCCAAGTTCTACAAGGCAAGGATAGATAATCCTCTAGCAAGGAAGTAAATTGGAGTATTTGGCCATCCACAATGCAAAGTTACTTTTACCTGTGTGCCAACTGGCTTTCCATGGTGAATCAAGTCAACATGATGGCAATGTATATATGTATAATGTATGAGCAGGGACTAAAGTGGAAGGTATTTCTTCTTCTAAAGGAATTGGCCTCTCTTCAGATCCCACTAATAGTTACCATGAGAAAATACTTGCCTGTGTTGTTAACTCTAAGTTTTTAATTTTCAAGAGAAGTCAAGCCTCTAGATATTGTATATGAAATCTTCCTATTTTAAAAGGTTATTAGCACAGAACACATGTTTGGATTAAATATGGCCCCATACCTCATATTTTGTGACATGGAAAAAATCTTATAGTATCTTGGAAATAATTCATTTAATAACTGCTGTCATTTATAAGCTAGCTTTTTCATTAACACTAATTAGAAGTAAGAATCAAAGAATAAGAATTCTGATAAGGCAACTTAAAGGAATATTTTCATAAATGCTCTCCAATTTGCTTTTAAAGGGGATGTTGTCAAAATGTTTTCATCACTGGCACCAACTGAATTAGAAATATACAGTTTCTCTAGATGACTACTTTGAAAAGGATATCCTTCAACTGGACATGGAAATTTTGTCATGTTTGTTAAAAATTCCTTTATTATTTTCATATAGTCATTCCTATACTGTGAATCTAGTTATAATTATCATAATAAGCCACATTTTTATTAAAGACCCAGATAATACACCTACAAAATCACTTACAAAGCTGTTAGGCTGAATTTTAGCTTCTTTAGATACATAATAAGCATGCTGATGAAATTGTTAGGATTTTTGCCTAAAACCTTAAAACTCTATATGTACCTTTAAAAATAACTGGTGATACCTGAGATAAAACAAAAACGTGTTGTTATTCTCCTTTCCCATTTGGTACCTCCTTTTAGTGGTATTACTGCTTTTAGCCAAACCTAGGAGTTAAGAGATTGGTAGAACTGGTATAGTTGAGTCTATAGCTCAGCAGGAGAAAAATGGGAAGAAAGAATAAGTTTTGGAATAACTTACAGGTGTTATTTTATGCTTGAAGCTTCTGACCAACCCACTGTTTGTGGAGGTAGAAAATTAAGTAGCGTCTTTCTGCCCACTTTAATTATTAGGTGGATACCCACTGCCATGGAAACAAACCCTTGGGTTGCCTTGGCTGAGTGGTCATCCTGCACCTCATCAGACTCTAGTTGGTGTTTGAGTTTCATTATTTTACAAAGGATATAGCTCACTGTCCTTTATCACCTATCCTCTGTCTTTTTTTCTTAATGTTTTTTCTTTGGTACTTTAGTTTGAATTATATTCGTTTTAATTTACTCATTATAGTCTTATCATTTTTACCTTATTTACTTTTCTATTTTCTAAAATTATCTAATGACTTCCATTATGTGAAGCAATAAAGAAAATATAGTTTGTTTTCTCTTATGTGGAGAGGTGAAAAATAGCTTATAAGGAAATAAATGAAGGGATGAAGGCAGTGGAATGATCTATTCCATAAAAATGGGCAATTAAAGTTATTATTTCCCTAAATACCCCTTTGGCTATCCCATCATTTTCAAAGATTTTTTTTAAATAAACAGCTTTATATTCTGTGCCTTAGAAGAATCAAGCAAAAAGTATTCTCAATACCAATTTTGCTAAGATGTATGTTATTTCCATTAGTTCTCACCATTTCTTACATTAGAAGTTGAATATTTTAAATTCATTGTCTTTAACATATTTTATCTGTCTATGCCAGTCACATGTTACATGTCAAGAGGTAAAGATAGAAGAGAGGGAATTTGGGGAGGAACTGTCTCTAAAACGTTCATGTCTGACTGGTAAGAAACTATGGCTGCTGCATCTCTCATTGAAAGATCCCATTGTAGATCCACAGTATAGGATCTGTATCCTGGTGTTCTGGCTCCATTTTTGCATCAGATTCTAGTATATGTGTTCATATTTGCACTTCATTCTTACTATGCACGTTCCTACAGTACCCACGTCGTATCATCAGGAATATGTTGAAATTACTCAGGTGTTTTTTCTTAAATAGGCTTTTTGAAGCAAAGTAAGCAAAATAGCTCTGATAGTTAACTTCTCTTAATCTGTCAGGGTTCTTTTTAGGTGAAACTGGGCCCACAGGTATTACTATTTACCTAAAGAGGAATGGAAGTTTATTTTATCCTCTGACTCTTCTCAGTCCTTTACTGGAAAAAAGTTCTTGACATAGCATGCAGCTTTGGCTGACAGCTGACTTTTTCTAATTCTTTGTCTCCAAAGCAAGAAGTATGAGAATGTTTTAACATCCAGACTTTGGTTCTTATTCCCTTGTTTTATGTATTTTGCTTACTGAATATGTTTTTACTCATCTGTGCATGATTGAATATATTGTTATTCATCCATTCAGGGCCCAAGCCCCCTTCCTAAAATACAAAGTTTGAGACCAGCCTGACTAACATGACGAAACCCTGTCTCTACTAAAAATACAAAAATTAGCCAGACATAATGGCAAGCACCTGTATTCTCAGCTACTTGGGAGGCTGAGGCAGGAGAATCCCTTGAACCCGGGAGGCAGAGATTGCAGTGAGCCGAGATCGCACCATTGCATTCCAGCCTTGGCAACAGAGGGAGACTCCCTACTCCAGTTATTGTTTGTTTGTTTGTTTGCTTGTTTGTAACAGGATAGATTGTGCCCTTTCAGCCAGCCTCATAAATAAATGCACCTTTCCTCCTTCTAACTGGACCCTCAGACACATTTTCTAACTCTGTTTTCCCAGTACTAGGAAACTTATCATGAGCCAATAGTTTCTCACAGATAAATAAGCTAATGTTTAGGTAGACTGTTCCCAGTGCAGGTCAGAAAGGGCAGGAAGTCTGCAGATTTACCTGTTTCCAAGCAACAGATGTGACTTTTGATTAGTTGTCCTTGGCTTGTCAGATCTGCAATACAGTATACCTACAGCTATGGATTTAACAAATCCTAAATCCTAAGGTAAAATCAATAGGTATAATCTTTCAGAAAAGACAAACTCTGCATCATTTCTGCTGATAATTATTTTATTGTTAGACTTCAGCTAGATTAGCTGGAAAATAAGCAGTCCAGTTATTTGACTTGTATTGTCTAATGAATTTTAGTATCCCATTTTCAAGATATGTGAATTATTTTAAAATACCACATACTTTTATTATTTTAACTTTCTACAGGTGAACTAGCCTTTTGTGATTAAGGTACCTTCATCAATTTTATTTCTTGCATCCACAGGAATACTTATTGCTTCTGTTTTAGTTGATAGGCACTGAACATTATTCCTAACAAAGGCACCTGCCATGCACATCTGTGCACAGTTTATTTACCTTTACCTCTTTTTTGCTGTCTTTGTATAAAATTATATCTAAGAACCTGAAAGCCAAAAAACTGTTAGCTGAACCAAAGGGACTATTCATAGGAGTGCTGCAGAGCAAGACAACTTGTGTAGGAGAAATGTGATGGAACCTAGCCTATGATATATATATTTTCTTAATAGATGTGTACTGGTCCAATCCTTACGGATTCATGTTATATTGCCATAAGGAGCGGCCTAAATACCTATAACAATTAGAAAGCTCCATGAGTGATTCTATTGTAACTCCAAATGGAGAACTTTTTATTAGTGTGTAGATAATCACACTGTGATCTAAAGCAGAGTTCAGAGGTGACCATACCTTATATTAGATTCTGGCTCCGTTGTTTTTCCAATCTTCCTTATCTTCATTGTTTCTTTTTCCACAGCCCACTGTTTTCCACATACAATTAATAGTTAAGACTATTGAATACTAGTGTGTTCAATGTTTTAGATTTGTTAATTCATTCAATCCTCACAGTAACTTTGAGGCAGGGACAGTTATCCCTATTTTTGCAAATAAGGATACTAAATCTCAGAAAAATTGCAGAATTTGCTCCAAATCAAACAGCTAAAAAGTAGCAAATGGCCTGCTAAATGAGTTCAGAAAATTTATTTTTGCCAATGGAAAAGTCTCAGTTTGTTTCCAAAGAAAGGAAAAGTTTGTTTGTAAATGCATGTAAAATAAAAAAGAATCAATTTGAGGAGGTGAGGATATTGAGGCTCAAGGAAACAAAAAGTAGGAAAATTAGGTCACAGCATAATTGCATGGTCTCAAATCTGTAAGTTGCTGAAAATGTGGC